TTTTTTTTTTTTGAACATGAAATGCTTTTTTTATAGCATGTTTTACAAGGGGAGGGGGGTAAGAGGGGCCAGGTGGTGGAAAAGTACAAAATCTTCTTGGCCTGTGCCTTGAAACATGTCATGGTCTATACGGTACACTGCCTTGAATTATGATCTACCTGCTGTTCTTCAGAAGATATGGTACACTGCTTGAGTTATGGTCTCCCTGCTATTCTTAAGAAGATATGGTACTCTGCTTTGAGTCTATCTGCAGTTGCTAAGCAGGATCTTGCAGTTGCCAAGCTTCAGGGGACCTTGTGCAGGTGGGGAAAGGTAGAGGGTGAGGGTAATGGCGAGGATCCTGGCTTCTGGCCCATCTGGATTAGAACTTGTGACAGCAGGCATCACGGGTGATTCATTTTTACCTGGAAAGAAAAAAGAAGGGGATTCTCAGGGAGATTTCTCTTCCCTGGATGTAAATTGTTATTCATCGTATTTATGGTTGGGCCTGGCTTTGTGGGGGTATTTATTTTTTTCCATTAATATTTGTGGTAGCCGGTTAGCTGTGCCTTCTGTGGTATTGGACAGGCATATCAGTCCTCGGCTCTATAAGGGAACTGGGTCTGGGGCATTCCCTTTACGGGTATGAGGGTCCTTCCCCATATCTGTGGCAAAGTTTTTGTTGGTCTTGGTGGTGCCTAAGGTCACCAACATGGTCAGCAAGAGATTTGCCATGAGCTTAGTAGGAAGCTTTCTATGTAAATCCTATGCATGATCAAATTTCCTAAGCTCAAAGAGCCTCTTGAGAAAATGTATATTGTTCCCTATTTTCAAGTGGGGGTTTCCAGAGCATTTGTAATTTTAATGTGTGGTGTCATATGAAAGTTATTAATTACTTCCATTGGAAATTCCTGTTCCTGGAAACTTTAATCCTAGCAATAAAAATGAAAATTTTCTATCGCCTTTGTTAAACCTCATTATGTGGTAGATTTTCCAGGAGTCATATTAGCTTTGGGTAGTGGCTTTACGTGTTTTCATATCTCATACTTTACCCATCTTGTTAAATAGGGGAGCCTGTAAAACAAAGAGTTGTAGACCTAATCCTAGGAGTTTATGGTTGTGAAAATTGCTTAGAGCCTGGAATATGCATGTGTGCCCCTTGAGCAGCAACTCTGCAGTCCACACTTCTTACAACACTTCTGATGGTCAGCCTACAGAAAAACTTGAGGCCATCAGAACTGATGTCCAAGAACTTTAGCTGAGACAGGCAGAGATTTATAGGCTAGTGGATTTTAACTCCCTTCTCTCTCTCTCTCTCTCTCTCTCTCTCTCTCTCTCTCTCTCTCTCT